TCACGTGGCTGACGCCCTCCAGGCTGGGGTTGCCCTGCAGCTTCCGCAGGAGGATGCCCACGGTGCAGAAGAGCAGGGCGCCTCCCCGGGCTGGTGGCTTGCTCTCCAGCCGCACCTGGTAGCCCACGTTCTTCCTCATGTTGGGGCCCAGCTCCTGCGCCACCCGCTGGGCCACCGAGATGGCGCTGATCCGCCGGGGCTCACGTGGCTGACGCCCTCCAGGCTGGGGTTGCCCTGCAGCTTCCGCAGGAGGATGCCCACGGTGCAGAAGAGCAGGGCGCCTCCCCGGGCTGGTGGCTTGCTCTCCAGCCGCACCTGGTAGCCCACGTTCTTCCTCATGTTGGGGCCCAGCTCCTGCGCCACCCGCTGGGCCACCGAGATGGCGCTGATCCGCCGGGGCTGGGTGATCACCACGTTGCAGCGGGCTCCGCGCCCCTCCAGGATGTAACGCTCCAGCAGCAGCTGCGGGATCCGGGTGGTTTTCCCGCAGCCAGTGTCTCCTGCGATCACCACCACCGGATTCTGCTCAACGGCCGACAAGATGGTGTCCTTGTGAGGGTCCACAGGCAGCTGGGGGCTCTCCGGCCACGACGAACCCCTCCTCTTCCAAAGCGCCAGGAGGTTCTGGCTAAGGCGGACCTCCTCCCCCTCAGACAGGGGCGTGTACGTCTTCCCTGTGATGGCATCACTGATCGCACCAGATTCCTTACTCAGGTTCATCATGTCGTCAGCAAGCCGCGGCCTGGATTCCCTCGAGTCCACGGGGTACTGGGGAAGGGGGAGAAAATTGGCAGATGCTTAACGTTCCCGCAGCTCCTTAGAAGGCCGTACGCCAGAAGGGAGCGTTGCAGGGTCACAGCAGGCGGGACGCGGGCGCTGCACTGACTGCGTGGCCCAGCGCCAGTCACCGCTTAGCTCCCTCGAGCAATGCAGCCCCTGAATTCTCTGTTTGCAGAGGCTCAGCTCAGAACTCGGCCCCCTCCGCGCGACACGCCAGCTGCCAGCCAGCCCCCCACGCCTGCCTCGTGGCGAGCCTCTTCTGGCTCACTCACGCACTGTGGTAACTAACCCGCCATGCTGTGCCCGCCACAGAACAGAGAAACCGCACGCAGCACCGTGGAGCGAGGACCCGGCCGGCCTGCCCGCCCCCATGCCCTGCTCCGAACACTGGATCCTGAGAGCTCCGCAACAGGGGCCCGACGCACCAGCAGCGCGCTCAAGAGCCAGGCTGCCTTCGGGTGCTGAGGAAGAGACCCCCGGGAGCGAGGCCGGCTCTCCGCAGGGCCCCGAGGCTCTGGGACAGCTGCTGTTCAGTTCTAAGCAACAACAGCTTGCGGCAAGAAACGACTCTCAGACCCCGGACAGCGAGGAGGATTTCAAGGGGCAGGATGCAGTCGCTGTACCAGAGGCAGGCGGGCAGGGGGGGCCGGGGGGGGGGCGCCCGGG